TTTAGTCTTGCTGTTTTCAGATCACTGAAAGTTAAAATGTTTTGTGATTTAAAGGACAGGCTGGAGCTGGATGTATAGTTCAGCAGTTGGGAGGCCAGGAGGGTTGCCTTCAGCTCAGGGCCAGCCTGGACTGCATACAGAGCAAGACCCTGTCTCAAAAAACAAAACAATAAAGGAAGGGATCATCTTTCAGTCCAGTTCATTAGTTTCTTATATAACATCAGTAAGCAGTAGTGTTTTGCAATTCTTAAATCTCGGATAGAAAAATGTAATAGCCTTTAAAATTTTTTCACTTTAAAGTAAAAAGTTGGAAGCCGGGCTTGGTGGCGCATGCCTGTAATCCCAGCACTCAGGAGGCTGAGGCAGGAGGATTGCTGCAAGTTGGAGACCAGCCTAGGCTATACAGTGAGTTCCAGAGCAGTCTGAACTACGCATAGTGAGACCGTTTCAAAAAACCAGAAAAATTTTAAAAATAAAGTAAAAAGTTGGGCTGGGCATATGTCTGTAGTCCCAACACTTAGCAGGACGATCGCTGTGAGTTCCTCATGACTAAGTAGTGAGTTGAAGGACACCTTATCTCAATAAAAAGGGTAACAAGTTACTTGGAGGAAATTAAGTTTTCTTTGGTCATTGTGGGCAGTTGTTAGTTAAGTGTGTGATAGGCTGAAGGGACGTGGTGCTTTTTCTACTCTGATCCTTTCCTCAGATGCTGACAAGCATGTTTCTTAAGTCTGGTGGTGTAATGAAGAGCGGACAGCCCCTGGCCATGAGAAGCTCACACTGAGTTGGAGAGTCAGGCATTTGGCAAATTATCCAGCTTCAGTAAAGAATTGGGGGTGCTGAGAGAAAGAAAGTGAGGCTCCCTGGGAGTGATACACACCCTTCTAGGGCAAGGCTCAGCAGGAGGGAGTGGTAAACACCTAGAGGGATTGCAGATTCCCGGATCACTGGTTAAGTGTCAAGAGCTGAGATGGTAGAGGGTTGAAGAGATTGGATATTATCCTGTGATGGAGAAAAAGTTCTCACAGGACTCTCCAATTTTACCCTCAGGGTAATGGATCTGAAAATATTTGAGCACCTACTTTTTATCTTGCCTGTGCCATAAATGTGGATCTAAAGCATAAATGTTACTTTCAAGAAGCTCAGTTAAGCTAAGAATAGCTTACTTTTTGTTAAACCTAATCAATTTTAAATTTTTTTATATTTATTTTGTGGTGTTGAGTCCTTAATGCTGATCTACACCCCTGGCTGTTTGTTTGGTTTTGTTTTTGTTGTTTTTTGTTGTTGTTGTTGTTCTTTTGTTTTGAAACAGTCTGACTTAGCAGCACAGTCTGGTCTCAGATTTGGGATTCACCTGCCTCAGCCTTCCAGAGTGCTGGGATCATAGGTGTGTGCTACCATGCCTGGTTCCCAGTCCTTTTTTATTTCTTTGAAAAGTTGCTTGGCTACAATGAATTTAATTTTATAGACTATCTTTTAGACCTATCAAGAAGCTTTAATCATCAGTTTTAACTGGAAAAACAAACAAGTCCAAGAAAATTAAATGATTTGCTTGAAGTTCTAGAAGGAGACCTAGAATTCCTAGACCTAAAACCATCAGTTTTAACAGAAAAGAAACTGAAGCCCAGAAAAATTAAATGATTTGAGTTATAGAAGCCAACCCAAAATTCCTACTATGATTCTACATATGGGAAGGGTTGGGTTCTCTTTTTTTTTTTTTTTTTTTT